TCCATCGGTAACTTTCCTCCGCCGTCCTACTATTCGTTCCTCGAACGCTATCGCGCGTACTTTTGTTACAGTAAGCGCTCTTGCGCGCGTAATCCATCGGGACTTCATCGCACGGCGTATTACTCACCGATAAGCGTTCCCTATTCTCGTTTAACGCTCGCGAAATGTATTAATAGCCGGAGTAGTGCAATATCGCGGCGCAAAGCCGCAACATAATACCGATTACGCGTTAAATTGCACGCGGAATTTTGTTGCGAATTACATCGTTCAAATTGGCGCTGAGATACACGACACAAGTTGCGAGCATCTTCTGCCGACTCTCTGCGCGGGAAGTTCCGAAAGAACGCGCAATCGTTCGCGTTCGTATAAAGCACTCGTTGCGTGGAGGAACACGCGATAACATCGATAAATTTGCACGACCCGCTGTAAGGGAGGACCGTGTCGTATTCAAGCGACATTCGTCGAGAAGGCAATGTTCGCCGTGCGGTTAGATGAAAAGTGATTAAAGTTAAAAACGCACCAACTCCTCGTATTGTCGTTGGCGGTGCCGTCGTCGTCGTGGGGCCGCGTTGCACTAACTCAGACACCCCGGCATCGGGGACAAAACGGATTTACACAGTCGGGACGTATTTATTGACTGGTCCTCAATGGCCGGCCTGTGCCATTAGCATTACACAGTGGGGGCGATTATGCGTCCGAGGAACCTGACGCTCGCTGGTTAGAGGCGAGGCGAGCTCTTCTCGCGCCTCCAAGTCGGGGAAGATGAGAATACCGCGCGCGCGGCCGGCCATATTCGTTAAATCATTCGAGATCGGTCATATAGAACGAACGAGCGAGTGCAAGGCGCAATTATCGTTCATTCTGAGCGAGAGAAGCCGTGAGCGCTTCTCTCATTCTCTCACACGCTCTCTTTCTTTCTCTTTCTCTCTTTCTCTTTCTCTCTTTTTCCTCGAGTTGTTCCTCCTCGCGCGCCGCTCCCCGCGAGTTCCTCACCTTCCAGTTTCTCTTCAACCTTCGAAGTCCACGACCTTGGCGCCTTCGACCGGTCGCCGCGATTTCGCCGTCGATCCCGAGGATGATGCTCGCGGGGCAATCACAGCAAAACGCGAGCGAACGCACTACTAAATATACTACGAAATATCCATACCATCCCAGATCGAAATTTTTATTCTACATTGGCGAAAATTCGGTTGAATCTTTGAAGAGCCACAGAATCTCAAGATATAACATCATACATGTTATTGCCCTATCTCGATGCTACCAATGTTTATTCATTAGCGTTTTTTCCATGTTGAAATGAGAAGTATTTGCTAAGAGCATTTACAAAGATTCAAAATTGTGTGATACAAACGTTTTTAGAAAACGAATAATCGATACTTTTGTAATTACTCGATTATTTTGATATCCTACTCGTTTTTGGTTTTTAGTTTTAATTTTAATAAGCTATATATTAACTTTAATTAACTTAATGAGCCATATATTAATTATGTAACTTATTATTACAGTATATATGCAATAATTATTAAGTAAAAATTTAATATTACATGAGGGTAAATATAATTACTAGATAAATAAAACACCTACACATAATACACTCGCATAATCTTTTGTTTATAATTTTTTTGTTTATAATTTTTTTGTTAATATCGAGAATTTCGAAAAAAAGATTTGGAAATTAAAAGAAGATCAATGAGAAAGAGTTACAAAAAGATAATGATAGTTACTGCGTGTGCAGTAATATTACGTATCAATAGAAAATTAAATTTATATTGGATACAGAATAATAAATAATATAGAATAATATAGAATAAAATAATATAAAAATAATAATAATAAAATAAACAATAATAATAAATAATAAATAATAAAAATAAAAAGAAGTGGAAAGAAGGCATTCAGAGATATAAAAAATAGGACTTGCGACCTAAAAAACATTATTAAATGCAAATATCGGAACTTAAGAAATTTACATTATTATAATTGTAAAGCCGGAATTCAAGGTTGTAAATTACTCGCACGATTTCCGATTCAGATTAAAATATAATCTTAGAATTGAAATGCGTATTCATAAACCGTTATTCGGGCATTCAAATTGATGTTTGTCTATGAAATAAGTACACATATTAACGAATAATTTACAGCGCTGATTATTTGTGAATATAATGATAAACTATGATTTTCGTTCAGCCTAAATTTTGTCTTGGATATATTTTCTTATTTTCAATAAGTTCATCAAATGTCTGCTAAAATCTGAAATCTCTGTATAATAAACGATTTGATGCATCTGAGAATATACGATATGTCGTTGTCCGCGTCCCAATATCCTGCGTCCACCATCTTGACTTCCCGAGACCTAATATCTTGCTTCTGACTGCTTTGGATACTCCGCCGTGCACGAGGAAAACCCGGTTAGTGTAACCGAATTTCTGTTGTCTGAGAATCAGACGAGAACTCAATTCTAGGAATAAAACAAGGCCTGCAGAAGGTTTCTTTTCAATCCATTACCTCCGACATCTCAATCGACCTTCAACGTAGGTAGTTGTCCTGACGAATATTTTTAGTCATAGTAACAGAAATACCGTCTCTCGTCGCCCACGGTTTCCATCTATTCAGTCACACAAATTGAGATTTGTCGCTCGTCGGCTTGGGACACAATGATTCAGTCACGAAAAAATGCGTGATATGCGTAAGTGCCAAATAGTTGGCAATCGTTATCGCTTGTCCAACAATAACGCGCACAATAGCCGCGAGATCATCACAACAATCAACACAAATCAAGACAATGCATACTTTGAAGGTGATCAAATGATCAGGACCGTCATGTGCGTGCTACGACTCGAAAGTTGTCAAAATATAGAATCTATTAATAGCCTTGCAAATATCACTTTATATCTTTAACGATGCTCACTTTCTTAGTTTTTAATTCTTTTGGTTCCAAGAAAAAAGTAGTAATAATCGAATTACGATAAAGGAAAAATCTCTTATATGCTCTTTTTTATTCCATTAATTAATATTTTAATTATCTGCACATTATATTGCATATATATCCCAGTAGTAGTTAAAGAAATTATATAGTGCGTGTTAAAATTAAGAATAAACATATATAAAAATAGAATATTAATCTCTGCGCACATTGAAGCACATATTAGAAATACAAATAAATATTAAGTAATTTAATCTAGAAAAATGAAATTATTTTATTTAAAACAAAAGGATGGAATAGACTAACGCAATAAATTATTAGAAGTCAGGAATTAAAATTATGCATTATTAAATATGAGAAGTAACTCATTTCAAACATAAAATCTTTATATTTCATATTTATTTCTATTGATATTTAATATTTTTTTCTATTTTTTAATATTTAATATTTTTTTCTATTTTTTAATATTTAATATTTATTCCTATTCCTAATATTTTTTTCCATTACACACATTAGGATATATATATATTCGAAATAATTCTAAATATTCATTTTCTAAAAGTGTTTATAGCACAAGATTTGTTTAACTCTTGAAGTCTTGTTTAACTCTCGACATGGAGGAAATGGGAAAGCATTAACCAATTGTAGTATCGAGACACAATAGTCTGTACATTACATTTCAAGACTTGCCATTCAAGTCTGTTGAAAATTGCAGAGTATGTTAATGTAGAACCAAAATTTTGATACGGAATATTACGAAATTCTAAAACGATAATTTACATTGCGAAAGATTGCAATCACGGAGTTGGTCATGCTCTCCCTAGAGATTCCTATGATATTTCGATAATATAGGTGTTTCGATAACTTTGATTTTAACAATGAGTATACTTGACATAAATATTTCGCCTTCCACGCTATTAATTATTATAAATATCGCCGTCAAATGTAGTCGTGCTATTTGGACAAAATTCGCACGACATGTTCAAAATTAATTCAAATGTTTCAAAATACACTTGGCCGGGCAACACAGAAAGACGCACTAAAGAAAAATCTGGTAATAATTAATATATGCATTTGGTTAAATGTTTCAGTGCGATATTTGGTAATGAGTACCAAATACTGTAATAGGTACCAATTATTTTATAATAATTACAAAATCAATAGTAAAACAAAGTCTTCAATTAATTGATCTAATCAAATGATTTAGTAATTAATACTAAATAATTTGGTAATAATTACCAAATAGTTTCATAATTACCAAACTATTTGGTAAAAAACCTATTCTAAAGTATTGCGTCAATTTAACCAAGTGGAAAGTATTATTTAACAATATTTCATTTAACAAGTTGTTTAGCTTTACGTACCACATAATCTGTACCTTGGTAACAGATACCAAGTCTTGCTAAGACTATTTGCTAATATTTACTAAATTGGTTATATTCACTTATATGTTAAATTGAAACTATTTTACCAAAGTATTTATTTATCATCCAAGCTGATTGAATCCAAGCTGATTATCAAATCTTTTTTGCAGTATGCACACTGAGAGAAAAATGTTTGGTATTTGTAACTTTATAATTATATAGAGAAATAATTACGACAACCATAAATTATGACAACCATTTTTTAGTCAATTATACTATAATTTTAGTGATAATAATATAAATGTTACTACTACTATCTTTGTATTGGAATAACCAAAAGATATAGTTGAAGCCAAATTGGGTCTCAACTGGGCAATGCATATAAGGTTATTATCATTAAAATTATAGTACAATTGACTAAAAAATTACAAATACCAGACATTTTTCTCTCAGTGCAGTCCGACGTGATCACCAGTCGCGTCGACCACTAGATCGAGACCACTAGATCGAGACATCCTCTCCTCGTGCCCTTCTCCTACCCTCGCAATCAGCGGTGGGTTGCAAAATAAAATCGTCTCCGCGTGCACACGATCGGAAGGCCACCACACCCACTTAGTCTCGGTGCTCGGGCCAGATCGCACCTTTTACCTGTCATACCGTGAGTAATAATCTTGTAAAGCCGCGCATCTTCCGCGGATGGGTTATGCGAGCAGAGAGGAGGACGCCCCCATGGAGGAAAGGACGAGACGAGGGAGAGGAGGACGAGCGAGAAGAAAGGATCAACAACCTGCGGGCGCTCCTTCGCGGTATCTTCTGCACGCGGCGAGACCAATGAGCTGACAACGAACCTATCCGGGACTACTGACTAGGATATGCCGTCGACTCACTGATCTTTTGGGTCTTGACAAGTATTTCTTAAATATTTTGTAAAAAAGATGGACGATATTGAAGGCGATATCGTAAAAAAGATGTGCTTGAAGGCGCTTTATTGCCGGGTTTAAGAGCACATTTATAAGTGACAATTCTATAAATTTGACTCCATATACTTGATTCTACGTAAACTATAAAATATTCATAGGAGATATTTTGTAAATTTTATGATATATATTCTTAGAACCATATTCTGTGAATTCTTTTATCGATAGAAAGCTTTCTGATTAGCTTATGAACGCATTTAGAGGCACTTTCATCGATAAGAGAAAGAATTCTCATAAGAGATCAGAGATTATAAAATTTCGAAGTATTATGCAATTACAAACTTCAAAATAAAAAAAAAAAAATATATATATATATATATATATATATATATATTAAGAAAACATGGTTGATTACACTAAAATTATGATTATTTTTTGCCCCATCTGTATCTCGTTGTTCTATCAGACAAGTGGTAGTAACGATATATATATACATATAAAAGGTTATTATCACTAAAATATTATAGTAACGTTTATAATAGGAATGTTTCTTCTGCCTATTAAGTTTGATCAACAATAAGCTCTTTGCATTCTGTTTCTTGTCTTCTGTCTTTTTCTGACTTAAAGCTTTGAGTCAGAAAGAGATAAAGAGAAAGAAGCAGGTAGCAAAGAGCATATTGTAGATCAGACTTTATAGTCATCAGTGGCAAACATATATCTCCTCAGTGCGAAAAGAGATGTGATGGGTGCGAGAGAGTGAAGTTTCCTAGAAATTTCTTTCAGGTCCAGTGAAATTTTGTCGCGCATATAACGGCACACGCGATGACGAATTAGGAGCTACCGGCCCTGCTGCAAATACGGCGCTTTTTGCGCTGTCCCTGGTGTTCCTTCCACAAAGTTCCTCCGAGTTGGCTTGAGATATGAAATCGCGGAGTCTCGGCAGCGCGAAGGTTTCCTCGGTGAGTAGGATAACGCGCCGGGGTACCTGCTTGCACCGAGCGCGCAATATCCTACCCGACGCGCCATACCTAACGGTCGCGAGGAGCTTCAGCCATTATCGCGGCGATTGCCGAGTACCTGCCAGTGTTAACTCGCGGCCACGCAAGATATCCGAGCGCGACGGGGCGCGAGGATCGGCAAGGTTAATGCCACCGAGAGAGGATCGGAGAGGAGCGCTCGAATCCTAGTTATCGGCCACACCCGATAGCACGACGAACCTAAGAGAGGAGAAGAGAGAGACGCTGCCATTTATCGCCACCACTCTTCCCTCGCCTGACTCTGTTCACGGAACTGCTCGTCTACGCGTCTATGTTAAACTCTCGAGAGCCACGTACATGCGTAACCAAGTGTCCACGAAACATTGTAATTTACGTCGTCCTATTAGTCGCGATTAGATCGGCGCGCAGGCAGTTCCCACTTGATTCACCAACACACGCTCAGTCCCCAAGGTTTCTCACTGCTTAGATATTGTGCGTAATTCTCATATTAGATAAGTAAAGTAAGTCTCAGAGCGATCGTGCCCCGCACAAAAAATACTTTGGGATTTAATTGGAATCCAGCCGGATCTCCTACAATAATCATAAGTTCTAGGTGGAAAATCTATGCTGGCTCTGGTTAGAAGAGTAACGTTTTAAACATCTAAGTAGGAATAAACATTCTAAGTAGGAAACCCAAACAAATCCCATTTAGTCATTCCTAATATTTTCCCAAAGATTCTTTCTGGTTTACATTTTAAATAACAATTGAGCAAAATATATGAAATATTTTGAATTTTACTCGCGCAAGTATTTACACATATACATATATTTGTAAAGAACAAACACTCAGTGTTTGCGAAAAAAATCATTATGATGACATTATAATGGAAGATGTTCGAGCTAAGAAAATCAAATATATGTAAATATCCGATAAATTCTTCCGAGTTACAAATGTATGAAATCGTGAAATTATTCTCAGATATACAAATATATTCTATATTATGTACAAAATGTCTTATCTTACGTTTTAATATAGAACAATGTAAGCTGCAGAAAATATTTGTATTGCTTTTATTGCACTAATAAAACTAATACAGGAAACACTAAGAAAAAGCCCCAGTTTCCTTAATATTTCTAAATTCTGATTCTAGACAGAGAACCCATGTTTGGGATAAGAATGGGATTCTCAATTGGTATCGTAGCGGGATAATCTATTTTGGAACATAGTTGAGCATTCTAACTTGAAATCTAACCTGTGCATTTGGGGAAATACTAAGAAATTTCCATGCGGAGCTCGGTAAAAGGTACAACGAGAGTGCAAAGTGTTCATAATTGGATCGTATATTTAAAATTGTCCTAAGTTCGTCTTCAAACGCTTCGTAGCCAAGCTATAGCGCCTAGAGATTAACTTAAGATGATTTTAAATACGGTAAACTTCGATATATAAACTAAATAGTACATTTTAGCATTTGAGTATATACACATAAACTATTGTAAATATCGATCATCTGCGAGAATGACTACAAAAACGCACTATTTTAGCAATTATTGGAGAAATTACAGCTATCTTTTCCATATGGCCATCATACCCGAATTTACTCTATAAGATCTGATTACACTGAGAGAAACAAGTATTTATAATGTTTCTAATTATATTTATATAGAGAAATAATTACTATAAATTATAGCCACGAAATCCATTTTTTATTAAATTTTATTGCAGAGTTAGTGATAATAATCTTATATGTATGTTGCTACTTTTGCGTTACAAGACAACAAAAAAATATGATTGAGCGCAAAAATAACTATAATTTTAGTTAGATCAACCACTTTTTTCTTCTTCTCGGTGTATAAATACCGCCCAAAGTATTCCGGGCATTGAATGTTTCGAAGTAGCGGATCGTAAAACTTACAAGTCGTTCTTCAACTGGGAATGTGTAGGAAACGCAGGACGCATACACGCAAGAGAATGCGAGAGCCAGCGAGTGGAGTTGAAGATGAGCCACGCGACGCGAATTGAGAGAAGCCTCGATTAAACGGCCGAGCGGGTTTCGCTCCATTTCTGCGGCCGTTCATCTAGGATAACGGTAAGTGATTATATTAACATACGTTCCAATTCTTCGGCAGTTTCTCACGGGAAGTACGTCCAAAACGGTGCTTACCGTGGACGACCAAGCACACCCGCGCCGTGAAAACAGACGCGCGACGTACTCACACACGCGGAACAAGCTTGAAAGTCGATGTCCCTTTCTCTCTCTCTCTCTCTCTTTCTCCGACGTATTATCGTTCCCGAAATAGAGCGACGAACTTATATGGCGCAACAGCGCTCGTTGTTCCTCGTCCCCTTCTTCGTACTCCTTCATAGCGCTGCTCACGACAGCCGGCTAAACTAGGGTATTATTCACGGACTAATATTAGAACCGCAATGTTCACGCGCGAAAGTCGGCTTTGCCGTGTTAACGAAACTCGAAAGAAATCAGCCGACGCGTAATTTCCGACGCGAACGTTGACAAGACGATTGCGTTGGAAGGCGCAGAATAGCGCGCTGATGAAAGAGAGACGGCATTGCGTCGTACGTGATCTTACGGCGGATGGCTGTCACGCGTGGCACACGGTAGTACTTCCTTTTTGCCTGCATCGCGCTAGAGTATACCAGTTATACAGTATCAGTATATTTCCCCTCAGCTTGCGTAGCCAAGAAGGGGAGACTTGACTTACAATTATATTCCTCATACACACATCCATCCATTCCTTATTTCTACTTATCTAGTTACTAATATCCCTGTACTTGCATTGTTTCTCTCTAATTGAATTTACAACATCATTCTCGTCACTCAAAAATGCTCTTATAATGTCTTTTTCACAATCTTCCTAATTTTCATCTAATCTTTACACTACCTTCTCTTTATCTGTCATGTCTAATCACACTTTTTAATTGCACATTCAACGAATATCATATCGTCCTCATATACAATATTCCAAAATTTTCCTTCCCTTCAGCTGTACACACTAATCTTTTTTTATCTGATCTCTTCACTGCTTTCCTTATTTCCTCTTCATCCTCCTTTTCTTCTTCATCCTCTCCCAATTTTTCCCATATCTTGATTTCATTACTTTATACTACTACTAACACCATGAAGTATTTTCTTCTTTTTCTTCGTTTCATATGTCTCTTTTAGCTTACATTGCTAAGAAGTTTTATTTTATAATCTTCCTCTTATTCTTTGCACTTCAATGTTCTTATTTGCACAGCATCTGTCTCACTAATCCTTCTTCCGCGTATACCTTTATTTAGTTTTTCTATCGCATTCGATAACCAAACTTTTCCTCTTCACTTCTTGTATTTATTCTTCCTCCATTTCTTATGTATTTCTGTCTTTTACTATCACCTATTATACACTCTATCGATAATTATCTCTGTGCATTTAATTTCTAATTAAATTTATATACAAGTTAATCTATATATAAGATAATTTATATATAAACTTGTATACATTACCCTAACTACCCTTTCCTTATGACGTTATGATTTCTTACCTATGTACTTTTCCCGCCCTGAATCTTGAATGATTTTCTACCTAACGTCTTGTTTCGCCTTCACTTGCACGCTATCTACGCACTCATTCCTACACAATTCCCCAAATATCTGACCCCTATACTTAACTTAATACGCTAAAATCATTCCAAACTCACGCGCCCCGCGTTAAGTGTTCACACACTTGCACGCCATTTAACCAAATCCGTATACCAGTTATACATATTATATATTTCAGAAATATAAATACGCGGATAGAAAGGCACATTCACGATATCACGCACTTTCTCTGAGCCACGGATGCTGAAGTAAATATGCGGCTGCTTCGAATTCATATTTGCGCAGCGCGTGCCCTTTTATATGCACATATCATACGGATATATTTATGCGACGGAACTGGGACACACGTTGTGTGCATCACAACATAACGTAAAAACGATAGATGTAACTTTCAGTAACCAGTTTCTTTTTCGGTAACATTTATAGTCAAGCGCGACTGTAATGCAATTCTTTCCCGACTCGCTCGAGGAAACGCGCCGGGGGTACATCACCGTCGACTCGATGACGCATCAAACCGACGACGAGGACGACGACTCGTTCTAGAAACGCGCACGAGCACGGATGAGCGCCCCTGCTGACGAAGGGTGCATAACTCCGACACGGTATTACACGGCGCGTCCGTATGGGTTCGGTATACTCAGACTTGTCTCCATAGAGGCAGCACAGCTGTTTCGTATCTTTTTCTCTCGGCAGGCCTGCCGGCTCCTCATCCCTTGCGTCGCTCTGTCCCCTTCCGTTCCATCTTGCGCGTCGCATCGACCCTTCCCTGCGTAGACGCAAATCCTGCGTGCCCCCCAAACAGGAAGAACGCAGGGCT